AAGCCTATCGACTCTCGATTCCACGTCGGGCGGAAATAAACTGCCAGTGATCTGGCGAGTCGGCGGAAGTAGGCGATTCGATCGCTCGATGAACTCGGGATTCATCCGGTCTTTCACCCCCTGCCTCCCCCCCCCCCCCCCATCTTTCCCCGTTCTTCATTTATCTATCGGTCACTCTGGTCATCGACGTCCGAGGTACACCGTGCGAAATAAGCTGTCGTTATATGACACTCTTCCATTGCTACCTCCCCTTATCCCATCGTCGTACGCCAATATCGTTCCCCAAGTCCTTTGTATACGAAGTGACAGAGACGGATCTACCGACGACGCGGCCTGGGACGATAGTTTCGGGTAAACAAACCACGATATATCCCAAAGAGAGTTCCCCGCCGTCAGGTGGATGCACGTCGTCGACAAGCACGTCCAGAATAATTTGACGACTCTTATACTCACGTAGTGCTTGCGCTCGTCGGCCCCTCGAGAGTAATCCTTGCATCGTCACGACGAAGTGTCGGCTGCAAAGAATTTGAGATTCGCCGAAGTAACAACGAACGATGTCCCAAAGTGCCTATTTTCACGCGACTAATAATTGATTACTCTCTGATCTGTTAGGTCAATTTAAATTTCAAAAATAATTCTAGTCTTTCTCTTTAAGAAACTTCAGCGCAGCTTTTAATTGTAGAATCAACATTTTGACATGTCTTACTTCTTCGTAACTGTAACAATCTTAGTTTCTTCATTAATTCTTTAATATCTATATAATTAAAATTTCAGAAATAAATAAAATCAATTATTGTGAGCATCAAATAAATAAAGAAAATCAATTATTCCTTCCTCTCATATATTTTTGTTCAAGTTTCGACAAAAAAATCGTTTATTGATTCTTCAGACGTCGTTAACCCGGTTGAAGCTGAAAAGCTCAAGAGATTAATACCCGAGCTTATCAAATTACAAGTTGAGGCGTTTACATACATTGGTAAACGCGTTCCTCAGCGGGAGAAAGTACGAATGAGAAATTCTATTTAGACACAGATTCATGAAATTCCACCGTTGAGACCCTCTTGTTATCTGGAGAACAGCGGTGATTTCAAGCGTCAAAGCGAGAAAATTAATTATTCCCTCTGACAATGATAGACGTTATTCTTGCACAAGACTTAATTTCGTTTTCGTGAATGCGCGACTAAATGAAGATTGAGCGCGATTGCGTTAAGTATTTCGTTAATCCTATTCCCGAATAGAACGCTGAACGGCGTCGTTAATTTGCAGTCGGCTATACCGTGAATTAGATTCTTCGTTCGTTTCGCGCGACTATTTGGCAAATTAACATTTTAGATCGTACTGTCAGGAATATTACTTGGTCCCTGTTGTTGGCAATTTCAGTGTTTATCCTGAGGAATCTCATCGTTGGCGTTAACAGCTTTTACCTGATCTGTCTTGCCACCATCTTCATTGCGAATTGATAATCTCCTAATACGGGAACTCGACTTTTCTTTTATGGAATTAAAAATACATTGATTAAAATCGTTTAAAGAATATTTATACAAAGTGACATTTTCTTATGTAAAATAAAATCGCATAAAGCGAAGCGCAAAGGCGAGGAACGTAACGTCTCGCTATTATCCGTAAAGCGCTTGTATTAAGAGTGTAAAAGCTTGAAATTCCTGGCTGAAAAGACTGTATTTATCCATGGTAGTGAACTCGAACGACTGCAGGTCGAGAATAACAGTAATGAAAGCCCCTGCGGTATCGTACTAGCGATGCTGCGGAACAGAGAATATTGGGAATATTGTCCAGGTACGATAACGTGAGAAATTTTATATTTTCCGCTAAGATTTCTAGCCAGTACTACTGTTCAAAATATCGCTCGATTATTTTCAATCTCTACATTTTCTCTTTCCCTCTTTTTTTCGTTAATTACTTTTCCCGTCTTTCGTTCTACATTCTACGTACAAATTTTCTCGGGAAAAAAAATGCTCGTTGCAATCTATTATGCATCTGCTATAACGATGTCTATTATATTGCCGATACATGTATGCGAGGAATTATACCTTCCTCTCGTATTAACAGAACGACGAATATAATTTTCAAGCGCGCATAATTTACATGTCTATTTTCCGCATTGCATTCGCCTCGTTATATATTGATTGCGTCGTTCGCGTCGCGTTACATTCGCGGGTTGTGCGCGCATCGTACGCATCGCATGCATACTCACGTTGACGTTCCGACTATCGAAAAGCGCGTTTAACAGAGACGACGCAGGATCGCGGCGAAAATCTATTCGTAGAACAAAAGTAACCATGACGGAGGCCCTTAGGGCGTCGTATCCGCGACGCGACTTCGACAGCGGGAATATCGGGATATTGTTCGCGGCACGATACCGTGAAATTTTACGGCGTGGTACCCGCCGGGAGCAGCCACCGCGATCGCAGTAATTTTCTCGGAAAAATTTTCGACGCGCCAGTTACGTGCTCAAACTAAACGCGACGGGAGCAACTAATTACGTCCGCCAAATCGACTTCTCTTTTTCTCTCATTTTTTTCCCCCTTCTTTCTATTTTACGTCGAGGCAAGAAACCGATTCGTTTTTCTCTCTCCATCTATACAGATCGCGGCTCATAACGTAGAAGTTAATTAATGTAGGACGCGCGACGTTTCCCGAACTGTTGGTGGTGCCGAAATTACGCGGATGGAAGAAGAAAACTTTCTCAATGATGGAAACGGCAGTCGTTTCTTGTCTGTTTTTACGAGAAAATGGCGTAAGCTTGTAAAGCTCGTATGGAATATAGATTTTGCGATCCGTCGTAAAGCGTAATCGTGCTTATGTAAAAGTGCAGCGTAACGTGACGAGTAATGCAGCAGGCGAATATTAAAAGGAGAGAGGGAGGGAAAGATAAAAAAA